ACTCTATTCCCACTAGGCCTCTTCCCCTGGGGCTGGGACCACCTGGCCTTGGCCCTGCATCTTCAGCCAGGCCCAGAGAGAGTTCAGTCAGGCTGGAAGTAAGGACCCTGGATATTCATGGAGACAGAGGCTGCCATTCTCCCACAGAAACTTCCACCCTTCATCCTTTCACAGAAGCATGAGTGATTTTTAAATATTTAAATCCAGTCATGATAACCCCCTTTTCAAATACCTCAGTGGCTTCTCAGAGCTCTTGAGATGACACCGAAATCACCACCTCCCCTTGTGGCAGCCACCTGACTTTCTCTTAGTCCTGTGAACTCACCAAGCTCCTTCCAGCCTCAGAGGCCCGGGACTGTTACTCCTTCCCGGAAAGCCCTCTCCTACAACACTGCTCTTCTCCTGGGTAACTTAATTTTATCCCTTAACTTTTTACTTTGAAATGTTTCCAACCCATCGAAAAGTTGAAAAATAGAGTGATAAACATCCAAATATGTATACTTTACTCTTTTTACCTAGATTCATCAATTGTTAATATTTCGCACATTTTATCTCTTTCTCTCCCTCTGCGCGCGCGCGCACACACACACACACACACACACACACACACAGAGTCCTTTTCCTGAACCATTTAAGAGTTTGAGCTACAAACATTGTAACATCTGAAATACTTTAATATATGTTTCCTACGAACAAAAACATTCTCCCCTCATACGTGTATGTGTGTATATATATACATATATGAGGAGGTCTCACTCTGTTACCCAGGCTGGAGTGCAGTGGTGTGATCTCAGCCCACTGCAGCCTTGACCTCCTGGGCTTAAGTAATCTTCTCACCTCAGTCTCCTGAGTAGCTAGGACTACAGGTATGCAACACCACGCCTGGGTAATTTTTTATTTTTTTTGTAGAGACAGGGTCTCACTATTTTGCCCAGGCTGGTCTTGAACTCCTGGATTCAAGCAATCATTCCACCTTAGCCTCCCAAAGTGTTGGGATTACAGGCATGAGCTACAGCACCTGGCCAACATTCTCCTATATAATCACAAAGGAATGATCACATTTGAGGAATTTAACATTAATACGATAATATAAAACCCACCAGCAGATTTTCATAAACGCTCAGTGTATTCTTTTATCCTGTTTTATTTTTTTGTTTGTTTTTGTTTTTGTTTCTTTTGAAACAGAGTCTTGCTCTGTCCCCCAGCTTGGAGTGCAGTGGTGTAATCTCGGCTCACTGCAACCTCCACCTCCCAGGTTCAAGCGATTCTCTTGCTTCAGCCTCCTAAGTAACTGGGATTACAAGCACATGCCAACACGCCCGGCTAATTTTTTTGTATTTTTAGTAGAGATGGGGTTTCACCATGTTGGTCAGGTTGGGCTAGAACTCCTGACCTCGTAACCTGCCCACTTGGCCTTGGTCTCCAAAAGTGCTGGGATTATAGGCCTGAGCCACTGTGCCTGGCTTTTTTTTTTTTTTTTTTTTTTTTTTTTTAAATACAGGATTTCTTCAAGGAGCATAAATTACATTTGGTTGTCACGTCTCTTTCCTCTTCTTTAATCTGGAGCAGACTTTTAGTCTTTATAATTATTTTAATGACATGGATATTTTTAAAGAGTCCAGGCCAATTGTCCTTTAAAATGTCCCCTAATCTGGATGTGCTGGCTATTTTCCGATGGTTAGATTCAGATTACACACCTTGGTAGGAATTCTTCCCGCAGCATTACACTGGGACTCATCTAACGTCGCCTGTCACACTGCGAGTGATGCTGAGTTTGTCCACGTGGTAAAAACAGTGTCCCAGATGTCTCCATTATAAAAATGTATTTTTATAAAGATATTTTAAAATATTTGTGATGAAGTAATCTGTGGATGGTATTTTGAGCTAGGCGGCAGCCCTTCATGAAATTTTAGTATTCACTGATGATCCCTGCCTGTATCTGTTTCTACAACAGCAATTACAAAGCAGTGATTTTCTATCATTTCTTCTACATATATTTGCTGGTATTCTTCTGAAAACTACCTGGATAATTTCTTCATATTTAAATGCACTGTCTTTTCCCTCAGGGAAGCCTAGACTGGCCAAGCTGCTTACCCTGTCTCTCTCTCTCTCTCTCTCTCTCTCTCTCTCTCTCTCTCTCTCTCTCTTTTTGAGACAGAGTCTCACTCTGCCGCCAGGCTGGAGTGCAGTGGTGCGATCTTGGCTCACTGCAACCTCCACCTCCTGGGTTCAAGGGATTCCCCTGCCTCAGCCTCCCGAGTAGCTGGGACTACAGGTGCATGACTCCATGCCCAGCCAAATTTTTTTTATTATTATTTTAGTAGAGACCACCTTGGCCAGAATGGTCTCAATCTCCTGACTTGGTGATCTGCCACCTCAGCCTCCCAAAGTGCTGGGATTACAGGCGTGAGCCACCATGCCCAGCCCCTACCTCTCTTTATACCCTCTGGTAGCCCCTGACACAGCCCATAGCAAGTATCACAATTGCAATTACCGTATTGTGTAATTATTTAATATCAGCCTCTCAGTGCCACCATGAGCACCATAAAGATGGACTATTTTTGCCATATTCACAGCCACTACCCCAGCACCTAGCTCTGTGTCTGGTACATAGTAATTGCTCAAGAAATAATTGTTGAATTAATGGAAACAGAATTACAACTCTTCCCACTTCGGGAAAGGAGAATTGAGATTCCCGCTTTCCCCTTCAGCCCTAGCTTTATGTTCATTGTGATGTTATAGAGGTCTCGCACAACAGCCTTGTGTCTGTTCTTAGGCTGAATTCACCTACTTGGGGATGGGGAATCCCAGACTGGGCAAAACCAAAAGCAGGGACAGACCTTTGAAAAATTGTAAAGCAGTTCTTGGTTGTGCCCACTCGCCATGATAAAATAGGCACACACACACACACACACACACACGCGCGCGCGCGCGCACACATACACACACACACACATTTTCATGCCTTTGGCCCATCCTACAGCCCTTCCCATGGTGCCAAACCCTTCTTCTTACCTTACAGTCACATAACTGTCTCTGCTAGCCTCTTCCCATTCATGCAAGCAAAAAATATTTATTGAAAAACTTCTCTGAGCTAAATGGTGCCAAACAGTTACCTAAAGGGCAGACTGTGGGTATGTGCCAGGGCTGTTTCCCACCAACACTCCCCTGCAAATTGAAACAATGTAATCCTTGGAAATGCAAAAACCATGGGAATTATCACTATGGGAAATACCCAAGTAGAGTTGAACCTTCTGAGAAGTAAAGGTTTCTTCTTATAGTTTAGTATTTTTTTAAATTATGAGTCAGGCCGGGCGTGGTGGCTCATGCCTGTAATCCCAGCACTTTGGGAGGCCAAGGCGGGTGGATCACGAGGTCAGGAGATCGAAACTAGCCTGGCTAATATGGTAAAACCCTATCTCTACTAAAAATACAAAAATTAGCCAGGCATGGTGGTGTGTACCTGCAGTCCCAACTACTCAGGAGACTGAGGCAGAAGAATCACTTGATCCCAGGAGGTGGAGGTTGTAGTGAGCCGAGATCATGCCATTACACTTCAGCTTGGGCGACAAAGCGAGACTCTGTCTCAAAAAAAAAAATTATGAATCATTTCATGTTTTTTCAACACTCAAAGAGTTTCTAAAAGTTTCAATTAGGTCCAAGCACTAGGCTTGGTGCTAGGTGCTTTGGTAGGAAACAGGTGGAGTCCCCGCCTCACAGAGGTCAGTGTGGTGGAGGAGCAGACAGCAGTTGCAGTGTGACTAGTGCCACGTGGGGCAGCCACTGGGGTGGGAGGACAGGGGAGGCACCTGCCCAGTCTGGGTAGATTTAGAGATCCCCTCTGATAAATTTTATTTGTGTACCATGGCAAAGTTTGGGGGACTGGCATTTTAGGGAACACCATCTGCCCAGGATCTGCAGCAAGAGGGAACTTGAGGGATAGGAAAGTGCACCTTGGAGAAGGTTTGCTGATAGAGTGTTTGAGAGTGGGGCTGGGAAGTTCTTATAAAATAGGAGGAGCAGGTTCTTATATGCCTGTGGATTTTACTCCGTGGGTTTAGGAAATCACTGAATTTTCGAAATTTCTTCTCCCTGCCAGGCATGGTGGCTAATGCCTGTAATCCCAGCATTTTGGGAGGCGGAGGTGGGTGGATCACAAGGTCAGGCGATCAAGACCATCCTGGCCAACATGGTGAAACCTCGTCTCTACTAAAAATACAAAAATTAGCTGGGTGTGGTGGTGCATGTCTGTAGTCCCAGCTACTCGGGAGGATGAGGCAGGAGAATCGCTTGAACCTGGGGAGGCGGAGGTTGCAGTGAGCCAAGATCGTACCATTGCACTCCAGCCTGGGCAAGAAGAGCGAGACTCTGTCTCAAAAAAAGAAAAGACATTTTTTCTTCCTGCTCCGGGGCCTCCTAAATCTCCCCCTAGGTAGTTCCTAGGTCCCTACTTTTTCTCTAGCTCTGGAACGTTCTCTTCCATTTCCCACCTTCACAGTCCTCTGGAGAGGGTCTGATCTCCCTGTGACAGAAAGCCAGGCTGTCTCATGGTGGGTGGGGAAATGCACCACGTTAAGTGCATTGGACCAGCCTGGCCAACATGGTGAAACGACATCTCTACTAAAAATACAAAAATTAGCTGGGCATGGTGGAAAATGCCTGTCATCCCAGCTACTCTGGAGGCTGAGGCATGAGAATCGCTTGAACCCAGGAGGCAGAAGTTGCCGTGAGCCAAGACTGTGCCACTGAACTCTAGCTTGAATGACAGAGCGAGACCCTGTCTCAAGGAAAAAAATCCATCAGAGACGGTAAAGAGTTGGTTTGGGGAACTGACTTGTGGGATTCTGGCTTCTGAAGGATTGTAGAAGTGCCTCCTACCTTGCTGAGAGAAGCACAGGGTAGGGATAGGGTACTAGGTTTGGGAGCCCTAGGAGAGGACAGGCGGGGCATGAGCTGTGCCAGCCTGGGAATCTGTGCTCACCATCCTACTCTCTCGCCAGCTCCCAAAATGGCGATGACACCGGCACCTGGCCCAACAACCAGTTTGACACAGAGATGCTGCAAGCCATGATCCTGGCGTCCGCCAGCGGTAAGTGGTGCCAGTGTGCATGGGAGAGTGGGAGACCTGGGGTCCTGGGGTACATCCCACAGCCACCATGTCCGCAGACTGGGCATCAAACCTGTGTAGTTTCTCCAGATCTTTTGGCAGCTCTGAGGGGACCCACGATTCCAAACGTAAAGCCTGGAATTGTGGCTAAGGAACAGCAGAGGGACTGGGGCTCCTGGGATACCTGGAAGGGAGCGAACAAGGAAAGACTCATGGAAGGAACAGTGGTTATGAGTCTGGCTCTGGAATGGGTCCTAGCTCTGCCGCTTACTACTGCTATCCTTGGGACTTGGATCAATTTGCTCAATCTCTCTAAACCTCAGTTTCCTTAGCCTAGAAAATGCGGACAGGGACCCCTAAAGGGTTGTTGTGGAGATTAAATGAGATGTTACCACAAAGGCCATACCATAGAGTTCTGGGCCTGGTGCTTACAAACCCTCAAGCAATGAAAGTGGGTGTGGAAATCTCCAGCAGCGAGAACACCTCCTCTTTATGCGAGGCTCCTCTTTTGCTGCCCCTAACTCCAGGGTAGGATTCTGGTTTTCCCATAAGGTTGACTAAGAGTTTCCTTTGCAATAGAGATTCAGCCAATGGTGGTTGTCCCTGAAAAGTCACTAGGGCCCACAGCAAAAGAAGAATATCATTCCTCCTTCAGAGCACAGGCTTTAGAGGCAGGCCAATCTGGATTCAAATCCTGGCGCCACCACTTAGCAATGAGTCCTTAGGAAGTTATTAAATCCCTCAGTTTCACTTACTATTAATGGGCACAGTATTAACAGATCTCACTGTGCTGTTACCAGGGCCAAATGCAAGGCCCTCAGCACAGGACTGGCAGAAAGTAAGGGCACAATATATTATTATCTTTGCTGACCCAAGCCCATTTTTTACTGGGTAAAAAGCAGAATTAGAATAATGCCTATTAATAAAGACTAGCTTCTGGAGCAGCAAATCCTGGGCTTATAGGGAGGCTGGCAGAGGATTAAGGCATTGCCCTATATCGTGAACTGAGAGCCCTGCCCTCCAGCACGACCAGAGGACTGGTGGGTAGAGAGCCAGGTGAAATCACAAGAAGCACCGTCATCACAACTGGGCACACGCTAAACAAACTTCATGGGCCTCCTCTCAATAGCTCTTCAAGGCAGGTCTGACTTCTCACATTTGACAGATAAGAGAACAGAGAAGGCACCTGCCTCAGTTCTGAGTTGCAAAGCTGAGGTTCTAACCTGGCTCAACTTCCAAGTTTATGCCCTTTCTGCTATAGGGACTACGACTGCCTTTAGATCCAGCCTGAGCTTTCCTATTAGCTGAGCAGGACTAGAGGCTAATCTCTTCCTCAAGCTCTGCTTTATTCTTCCAGATCAGGGTTGCCAGATAAAATACAGGATGCCCAGTTAAATTTGAATTTCAGATAAACAGCAAGTACTGTTTTAGCATAAGTCAGTCTCAAATGTTGCATGAGACATAATGTTCTAAAAAAAAATGCTCATTGTTTACCTGAAATTCAAATTTAACTGGGAGCCCTGTACTTTTGTTTACTAAATCTGGCAACCCTACCCCAGATGTCTGTGAGGTTAAGTCGGGCCAGGCCTGTGGCTGATGGAGGGATGGAGAGAGGTGGCAGGGACTGCCAGCCTCCGAGGCAAAGCTGTCCCAGGTCTGGTGGGGCTACGGCTCCAGAGAGGCCAGAGACTGAGTATGAAATGGCAGGCAGCTGGGTCTCAGAAGATGCCAAGTTGGGCTCTTGAGGGAAATAAACAGGTATATTTAGCTGTCGTGGCCTTGCGCCCTGAGGCCAGGAAGCAGCTTTCTAGCCTAAATCCAGATGTTAAAAACAGAAGTGAAATCAGTATTTATGGCCCCAAACCCTTCCAGCGGGTCATCCAGCTCATTCTCCTGTCAAGGCCTCACTCCTTTGGCCCACACAGGGCCTGACCCTCGTCTAAGCCTGGGCTCTGGGGAACGGTCCCTGGGGGAGGTGGAGGTGGTGGGTCAGGCCCTGCTCTCACTTCCACACTGCTTCCTAGCCCTGAAACCAGAGAGCTTCCTGAAGTCCAACCCAGCTAAGCCTGTGGGGCTGCTGAGGGGGGTTAAGTAGGAGTGAGAGTAAGAACCAACACTTGGGAGGAGGCTTTTAAAATAAACATCTGGGGGGAGAGGTGCTGCTAAGGAGGCTGCGGTTTGCAGCTCAGCCAGCTGTGTTCCAGCTAATCAGGCCTCCCTGGGCTACTCTGGAGTTACTTCCTCAGCCCTGGGCTGAGGTGGCTTAAGAGGACACAGGGAGGTCAGGGAGCTGGAAATTGAGTTTCCCTGAGTAGAGGCTGGCACAGGAGAAGAGGCATCACCCCCAGCTCGTCCAGGCCAGAAGATATCCAGCTTCCTGAGACTCTCCTAAGTCTGCCTCTCCTTGGACCAAGAGAAAATCCCAGCCCTTGACCAGGGTGGGCCTTTCAGGGAGTGGGGTGTAGTGGGAGGGGCACTGTGAACTGGACCACAGCAATCCAACTTCTTCCCCTCAGATTCATAAATGGGGAAACAGGCTTGAGCCGCGCAGGGCCTTGACCAAGGTCACACAGGTCCTTAGTGGCAGAGCAGGGCAGATATTCTCTTTCTATTACATTCTTGATTTCCATATCTTCTGTCCCTCCTGGGCCAGCCTGACTTCAGGGCACCCACCATGAGGTGGGTGGGGGATGGCTTTGTCATTTCACCCACTGGGGGTGCTTCTCAGAGATCTTGGGTGCACATAGGACATGGGTGGGCCCAGCTTCTAGCTACTCAAGTCAGGCCCTTCTTGTTATTCTGTTTCTACCTCCCTTCTCCCTGCTTCTCCGAGTTCCTCCTCATTCTTTTCTGTGTGCTTGGAGACTACCCCACCCCCACCCCTCTTTCTCTGGCGCCTCTGAGGTCTCCCCTCTAGCCCCTAAATCACTCTGGAATCCTGGCTCTTTGAAGACAGATCTGGACCCCTCCCCTACCCCTTCCATTCCCAGCTGGGAGGGGCTGGAAGAGGCTGGCAGAGGCTGAGGGCCGGCAGGAGGGGAGGGGGCGGGGTGGTGGTGGACCTGGCTCCCTTTCGGAGTTAATTAGGGAAAACAGAGAAATGTCAGTGGAATAAAAGGGCTGGGGGTGGGGGGCCAGCTGGGGTAGGAGAGGAGGAAGTGGGCAGCCGCTCCCTCCCACCCAACCCCTCTCCCCCGCCCCCAGAAGGCTCTCAGCTCCCGGGATTTGCGACACGAAATGGAGGCTGGAGAAATCCGAGCGCTCCCGCATGGAAGAGGAAAACCGAGGCGCATCCAGGCTCTCCCCTCCCATGTGCCCTCCCCCTCTTATGCTGGCTTGAAAATATTTCCTGTCTCTCTATTTCTCAATCCCTGGTTGATGTCCCAGGATTACTCAGCCTCTCCGGCTTTAGTCACTCTCTGTACCCACTCCCAGGGTCTAGGGTGCGGGCAGAGGGAGGCGGGGAGGGAAGCTCTCTCAGCTAGGCCTGGGCTGGCCTGGGCATCCCTGAGGTTTTAACTATATCCCAGCCACAGAGGATCTCAGGGCCTCCAGCAGCAACCCCCAAGGAGTCAAACTCTTGTTTCCTCCTCTCCCACCCCGACCCAGTCAGGGCAGGTGAAGGGTAGAGGTGATGACATGCTGGATGATGATGGTGTATTGCACAGGACGAAGCACATCTCATTTAGTCCTCACAGCAACCCTATCAGGTAGTAAAGTGTGTCTCAGCCTTTCCAGTGCATACAGATCAGCTGGCAACTCCGAGAGGCTGCATTCTAAACAAGTTCCTGGGTGACGCTGAGCCAGGGCCAGAGTGTGGACTTCTCTGGCCCCCAGTTTCTTCTTCTATACAGTGGGACGTTGGGTCAGAGGTGCTCTCCGATGTCACCTAGCTGTGACACTCTAAGCCTGTGCCTAAAGTGTCCCTGAGACGTCTAGTCCCCGAGAGCATCATCTCCTCAGCTTCATACAACAGGACTCTTCTCCATCTTCTGACTACGTCCTATTCACTCAGAGCAGGGATAAGGTCTAAGCTGCTCCTAGTGGTGGTGACTGACCGTCCCTTCCAGCATGCGTTTAGGTACACTTGGGCCCGAATCCCCTCTACCAAGTGCTGCCTGGTATGGCCTTGGTCCTTCTAAGCCTTGGTTCCCTCATCTGTAAAATGAGGGTCATAGCACATACCTGGCTGGGCTGTGGTGCAGAGGTTAAAAGTGATCGTGCATGTGAAGCATCTGGCAGAGTGCCTGGCACAGGGTAGGCGGTCAAATGCTGTTTTGAAATACAAAAATTAGCCAGGCATTGTGGCGCGTGCTTGTAATCCCAGCTACTCAGGAGGCTGAGGCAGGAGAATCACTCGAACTCGGGAGGTAAAAAAAAAAATTTTTTTTTAAATGCTGTTTTGAAATGGAGGCTTGGAAGAATGCCCCTCACCCCCACCCTGCACAATTATTAACAGAACTACTGAATCTCTACTCCATGCCAGGCCTTGCTTGGCAAAGGCTAGGGACATATACAAACCATGGCTGCTGCCCTCCAGGAGTCCGGGGTCTAGTGTGGGAAATCAGAGCCTCCCTTGAGAAGGACCAGGGCAAGGAACTGAGAGCCCGTGTCACAGCCCTGAGAGAAATACTAGCGAATGTGTTTTGAGCACTTTCATCCACCAGCTCTATTCTAGGTACTTTACATACATTTTCTTTTTTAGCCTTCCCTAAAACCAGAAGCGGTGGTTCCCATTATCATCCCCATTTTGCAGATGAGAAAACTGAAGTGGTTCAGGGAGGTTGGGCAGACTTGCCTAGGATCACGGTGAGTAAGGAAAGGAGCTAGGAATCAAACCTAGACTTTTTCATTCCAGAGCCTCTTTTTTTTGTTTGTTTGTTTTTTTTTTAGACAGAGTTTCGCTCTTGTTACCGCTACCCTCAGCTCTTGTGGAGAGAGTCTGCCTTGGTGACCCCTGTATTCCCAGTGCTCAGCATGGTCAGGGCCCAGGGTGCCATGTAGGCATTCATTAACTGCTGGGAGTATAAGAGAGTGACTGTTGAGAACCCTGATTTAGCTCCCACCTGATCTTCCTCTGTCTCTGCAGAAGCTGCTGATGGGAGCTCCACCCTGGGAGGGGGTGCCGGCACCATGGGCTTGAGCGCCCGCTACGGACCCCAGTTCACCCTGCAGCATGTACCCGACTACCGCCAGAACGTCTACATCCCAGGCAGCAATGCCACACTGACCAACGCAGCTGGCAAGCGGGATGGCAAGGCCCCAGCAGGTGGCAATGGCAACAAGAAGAAGTCGGGCAAGAAGGAGAAGAAGTAACGTGGAGGCCAGGCCAAGAGCCACAGGGCAGCCTCCCCCCCAACCAGCCCAGCTTCTCCTTACCTGTACCCAGGCCTCAGAGTTTCAGGGCTCACCCCCAGAATACTGGTAGAGGCCAAGGCCATGCTCCCCTTGGGAAACAGAAACAAGTGCCCAGTCAACACCCACCCCCTTTTGCCCCCAGGGGGTTGAATATGCAAAGGGAGTTCTGCTGGGAACCCCCATCCAATCAATTGCTGTACCCATGGGGGTAGTGAGGTTAGGGTAGACAGTAAGAACCATTTGCCACACCCCCTTTGGTTACAGCTGAACTCCTGCATCTTCCAAATCAATCAGGCCCATCCATCCCCTGCCTCTCTCCTCTCCACCCTACCCCACTCCAACAGTTCCTCTCTCTTGAGTAAGGTGGTTGGGGTGTTGAGGTACCAGGTAACCTACAAGGCTCTTCGTGCTGAAGACTTGGAAAGGCATCATGACCTCTTGGCCTCTCTTTTGTCAGTCTTCCCCCAAAGCATGGTTTGGTGCCAGCCCCCTCGCCTCCTTCCAGAGCCTGAGATCAATGCTCATATTTTGGAGGACATGGTCACCATCCCCATGGTACTGATGCTTGCTGGATTTAGGGAGGGCATTTTGCTACCAAGCCTCTTCCTGCCACCCTGGGGACCAGTCTTCTGTTTTGTTTTGGTTTTCATTGTTTGACATTCCCACTGCATGCTGTGACTTCCCCCACTCCTCCTCAAACAAGAGACTCTACTGCATGTTCTAAGACGGTATGGGATGGTAAGATAAAGTAGGGAAGTATGTGGATGTGGATGGTGGGGGCATGGACAAAGCTTGACACATCAAAGCAGCAGGGCCTTGCGGGAGGCTCTGTATGTCCCCAGGGGACTGACAAGATCCTCCAAATTTCAGCCATAAACCAAGAACTAGGCTGGACCATCCCCACTACATATAGGGCTCAGCCCAGGCAGCCAGCTTTGGGCTGAGCTACCAGGACCAATGGATTAAACTGGCATTTCAGTCTAAGAAAGCTCAAAGCAGGTTTAGGACCAGATCCCCTGGAGAGGTCAGAGGGACCTCTGTGGGTGCTGGGTACTCCAGAGGTGCCACTGGTGGAAGGGTAGTGGAGCCCCAGCAGGTAGGGTGCAGGCCGGCCAGGCCATTCTTAGTCCCTGGGTTAGCAGGCAGGGACCAAATGAACAGAAAGTCTCAGTCCAGAATGGGGCTTCTCCCCAGGGCCCCTGCCCTCCTCAAGCCTCTGACTTTCACCTTACCAGGTGCCATTTCTTCTCCGAGAAGGCCACTGCCCAGGCCCCCAGTGCGCCCCCTAGTGGCCGTAGCCTGGTTAAAGTTCCCCAGTGCCTCCTTGTGCATAGACCTTCCTCTCCCACCCGCTTCTGCCCCCGGGGCCCCGGCCATCCAGCGGGGCTGCCAGAGAGCCCCAGACCTGCCCTTACAGTAGTGTAGAGCCCCCTCTCCCTCTTTCGGCTGGTGTAGAATAGCCAGTAGTGTAGTGCGGTGTGCTTTTACGTGATGGCGGGTGGGTAGCGGGCGGCGGGCTCCGCGCAGCCGCCTGTCCTTGATCTGCCCGCGGCGGCCCGTGTTGTGTTTTGTGCTGTGTCCACGCGCTGCGGCGACCCCCTCCCCCATACTCACTCCTCCTATAAGCGCTTCTCTTCGCATAGCCACGTAGCTCCCACCCCACCCTCTTCCTGTGTCTCACGCAAGTTTTATACTCTAATATTTATATGGCTTTTTTTCTTCGACAAAAAAATAATAAAAAGGTTTCTTCTGAAAGGCTGAACGTTTCTGTGTAAGCGATGGAAGCTCCTGGCATATGTGCATGAAGTGATGAGCTGAGAGGTGGGTGCTGGAAGAAGGGCGGAATCGGGAGGCGACTTTGTGTCATTGCGCGTCTAAATCTGTTTCCGAATTGCGTGTGTGTGTGTGTGTGTGTGTGTCCGTGTGCGTGTGTGTATGACTGCAATATGGCTGCGTATGCTTGCAATGCCCTTGTGCCTGTGAGACGGTGTGCGATTGACTGTAAGTGTGCTTGTGGATCTGTGAACCGCGTGCCGTTGTGTGATCGGCTTTCGGGTCCGCGGTGGGGGTGGGGATCTGAGTGAGGCGTGTCAGTGTCCAACTGAGTGTGCCGTCTACGCTTGCGGCTGTCTCCAGGCAGAAGAGGAGACCCCGGAGCGGGCGGGAGCGGGGTCGGGTTGGCGCAGGGCAAACAGCGTTGAGGGGGAGGGGCAAAGGACGTTTCCTTAGTTCCAGCCCCTTCCCGATGAAAATTACCTTCTCGAAACGCCCCGAAGGGCTTCGCGGGAGGAGGGTAGACTCTCCTTTGCCCCCGCACCTCCACCCCCGCTGCCTAGGGGTTTTGGGAACGCTGCGGGAGTGGGAGGGAATGCGGGAGGCGATTCTTCGAAAGCCAAGTCTGAAACTCGAGCCTCAGTTTCCCCATCTGGACTTCGCCTTCTCCCTGACCTCTCCGCTGAGAAGCTTAAGAAATTTTAGGGCTCATCCTTTTCTTGCGGGGGTCAAGGGGACTGAAAGGATGTGCAGGACTGAGATCGCCGGCAGACTCAGCGCCCCTCCTCCCTCAGTGCTTTTCCACTCACTCGCCTGCCCTCCCATCTCCCCGCCCCCTCCGCCTGCCTCTTCGAAGCGCTGTGGGATTCCGAGGTTGCTGCTGCTGGGGGTGGAGGGGGGACTCAAACGGGGAGGATTACCCGGAAGGACCCAAGAAAGCAAAGACAGAGCCACTGGGGTTATCTGGCCGGTCAGCGAGGGTATGCGGCTTCCTCTGCGCCGCGGAGCCTCCCAGAGCCAGGTCACCCATTCTGCCAGCTCAAGTCTGTTGTCATGGAAACCAAACCTTCCAACTTAAGAATCTGGGGGCGACTTTCTAGAGTGGGAGGAAGGGTGGGTGTGCACGGTTGCTGAGATGGAAGCAGGGTTTTGTTTCTCAAAGCCAGGCCGAGGAGGGGCGAGGTGCTGGGCGCCTGGGTTCTATTCCAGGCACGGCCAGCAGACTGGCAGAGCGCGTGAGCAGCTGTGGTTGGTCCCCTAATTGGTATGTGTGCCTATAAAGCTCTGAACCAGAAACGCGTGGCCTCAGGGGGACAGGAGGGAGGCGGCAGGCAGCCCATCCCCACACCTCAGGTCATACTGGGGAAGCAGCTGCCCAGGCTACAGGGCTATTTAAAAGGCTTTTATTTCCAGTTCCAGAGCCTGCCCGACTTGGGTTTGTGGTCCTCTCCCGGCCCCTCCCTGTCTATCCTGGGCCTGCTCATTGCTGGTCAGGCTTTATGTGTAGGTCACAAGGCACTCAGACAAGTATGGCTCCAAGTGGCAAGTCATCTGGAGCATGACCTCGGGCTCCCAACCTCTGCTGGACAGACTCAGGTTTCCACCCCAGGGTTAGCCCCTCTAGTCTGGAATGTGGTCTGTGGCCACCAACAGAGCAGAGGGCACAGGAAAATAGGAGTCAGATGCTTCCCTTAGCAAGAGACACAGGTACTGCCAGGAAACCTTGTATGGTATCTGGGGGCATGAAGGGTTACAACTGAGTTCCAAAAAAGGGCTCCAAGCCAAGTAGCAGCAATGTGGAAGAGTCAGGGAGCTGAACCAGGTGCCTACTCCTCTGCTGTGGGCAAACGGCCCTGAGGCGAGCTCTGGTGGAGCAGAAGCCACCATGTATTCATCATCTATAGCCCTGTGCACATGCAGTGTCTGGCACCTTTAGCTTTCGCATAGTGATTCGTCAAGTCAACCAGGGATTTGAGGCAGGAAAGACTAGAGGAGCCTGGACTAGAGAGAAGAGAAAACAGCTCAGAAACTCACACAGGAAGCTGTAAGGTAGTACTGTTTCAATGCTTTATTAACAGTTGGAAACAAAACCAACAAACTGGAGGCGATGACATCCAGAACCCCAAGAGGCAAGGGAAACAGATTTGCATTTTGTCCCTCACCCTTCTTTTTTTCACTTTTTATGTTTTTTATTAAATGCATCTTAGCAAAAGTAGATTAAAAAAGAAAGGGTCAAAGCCCCAGATGTCAGCGAGCAGGGAGAAGGGGGTGACCTAGGGGAGCAACAGACGCCCCGCATCAGAGTCTTCCCAGGAATAGCCCAAAGGAGCTGCCGCTGCCCCTTTCTACACAAGCGCTCCTGGCAGTAAGGCCTCACTGTAGCTACCCTCATGTTTCCTACGCTTCCTCTGGCTCTAACAACTCTAATTCTAGGCCAAGCCCAGGAGTGCCATTCTTTCTTCCTAGCTGGGGATGGAAAGCTGAGAGGGGCACAAGGAGGGCAAAACTGTTACCCTACGCCAGAGAACTGGAGCTTCCTGTGGTTGGAGCCACCAAACAGCTCAGTGTGCCCACCCACTTCTGTTTTAGAAGAGAGCTGGGGTGCAGTGTATAAAGGCACTCCTGGTGCCCACTTCCCCAGAATGTTCAGTTAGCATCTGCACATTTGGCTTGATACATTTATACATTGATTAAAAACTCTGGTCTTTGAGCTCCCATTACTCTTGGGCCTGATCCAGCTCAACCAGAGAAGGAGAAGCTCCTTCTGCCCCAGATTCTCTGGGAGAGAGGATCTGCCTTGGCCTCAAGGGTCCAGAAGGTCCAGGGGCACATTCAGGATTGGGCCTCTGAGGAGAAATCCGAGGAACTCTGGAACCTGCCACCAAAGCTTCTTACATTATGGAAGGGAAAGGGGGAAGGAAGAGTTTTCTTTAAAAAAATTTTTTTCATACAAAAATAGATCCATTTGCAAAACAATTTCTCAGCCAGGAGGCTCCACCTCCCATTTCCTTGCAGACAGAGGGTGAGGGGTTGGGATGGTCACAACACAACCCATAGTCCAGATGAGATGCACCAAAGCTCCAGGGGAGGCACGAGGAGGGAGCGTGGCTCAGTAGCCTGGGGTTGGTGCAGAGGGTCCAGAGAGGCAAGGGCATAAAGCGTGGCAGACACTGGGGGCAGGTCCCACACTGTCGCTATGCCCTGCCTGCCCGCCCACAGGCTCTAGCCTGGGCCACAGAACAACAGGGAAAGTGGTCCTGATCCTTTGTTTTGGAGGCCTTTCCCAGGAAGGTGGGGTAAAGGTGGGATTTGCTCCCTGCTTCCTTAGGAGCATCTCCCAGTGCGACACCACTAATAATAAATAACCACAGCCAGGAGAGGGAAGAGCAGAGACGACAGCAATGAAAGGCAGGATCTAGCCCAAAGGTTTACAAGCCCCATGCTGTTCTCAGGGCCAGAGAAACCACAAAAGAAAAGCACAAATCCAGCGAGATTGACCTAGGGAGAAAGCCCATGAGAAAGTCAGGGCTAAAAAAAAGCAGGCTGGGCCTTGTCTGAGATGAGGCCCTCTGAGTATCAGACAGGAGACAGGGTTAAGGCAGCAAACAGGGACCCTGCTTTGGTAATACAACAGCCAGGGCTGGCTGAGTTGGTCTCAGGCCTCCCCCACACTGCCCTTTCCTTCTGGCCTCCAGGCAAGCTGAAGCTGTATGTGATGTTCAGAGAGCAGCAGGCCAGAGAGAAAGACAGGGTCAGGGTGGTGGGAGCGGCCGCCCCAGAGGAATATCCCCTTGAGCCTTTAGGCACATGCTGCAGGGCAGGACAGTCTGGGGCTCCACTGAGGAGCTGCCATGGTCACAGGACTCATATTAGCTTGCACGGCCAACCAACTCCATGGCTTCCTCAAGGATTGTGGGGACTGCCTCACTCTTCTTGGGCATCTTGGCAGGAGTAGAGGTCATGGCATCGTCCTTGGTCAGCTCCGAAGCTAGCAGAGATGTGACTGCACACCCGGCCTTCCTGTTGGCTGCAAGAGAAGACACGAGAGACTCTGTCCATGGAAGGCCTCGTTTCTAATTTCTTTCAAACTCCGCAGCAGATAATGAGCTGTAAGCCATGCAGATGTGGCTGCCTTGCCCAGTTCACAGAGGCCTTTATTTTGAAGAAAGAGGGGCAGAGATCCAGCATGTGGAATATACTTTTGGGTGGCAAAGAATATAAGAGAGTGTGGTGCAACAGGAGAGCAAGCCTCTCTCCCTTGCTTCTCTGTGTGCAAACAGCACAAAAATTTGAACACAGCTAGACAGACAGAACTGGGTTGAAGTGTTAGCCATGTGACTTAGGGAGAGAGGAAGTACGCCAAGTCTTTTCTCCTCACAGGGATGTTGGAATTAAATAGGCTCAAGCTTAGTACACAATATTATTTTTGCTTTCTTGACAGGTCCCAGGAAACTTCTAGACCAAAACAGTTTTCAATCAGCCCTGGGAGGGTTGTCCCTAGCAAAAGGCGGCCTTCAGTAGGTGGCTGGAGGGACTCCTGCAAAGAGGAACAGCGGCTACATGCGGGCATCGCACTCCCACGTGTTCCTCCAACGACAGATGCCCACACACCTTAGCTCTTTCCCATTTCTTCAAAGGTAGCAGCTGTGATACAAATGCCAAGGGCCCTACAAGGTGTGCAGAATATGTTGGGGGTAGGGTGGGGAGGTAGTAATAAAAGCTATGTCAAGGGAAGGAGAACTGGAATCAAGTATGGTCAGGAGAGGACCCCTACAAAGAAATCTCAGCCCATGTGGCTAAGGGATGGTCAAGTTCTGGCTGTCATCACAGACTGGAAAAGCAGCAGCAAATCAATCCATGAGTCTCTGTTCTAACTGCTGCGTTTCAGCCCCAAGACTCTCATATTCATTTATGGCATCCAGGCTTGTGGCCCCAGTATCTGCAGCAGGAAGGCAGCTCTTTGGGACCATGCCATCTCATGA